GAAGTATTTGATAATTTACGTATATCTATATACTTAATAAAAGTGTAATAGCTATTCTAATTTCCAATTTGACTGCATGACACTTGTCATTAATAACCCACGTCAAGGGGCTTAAATATGACGTCATAGAAAGTAACCAAGGATAACCAACATCGCTTTAAATAAAACTGTAAATACCGCAAATTACCGGTTGATCGCTGTAAAACGGTTATAGTTTACCGTCAAATCATTTATGTCACCTAGTTCAAGAAAGATTTGTGTGTGATGATATAAATCCATTTGTTATTGTTTAATGTGGCTATACCTTACCAATCTTCATTGGAGAATACGTGCTACTTCCGGTACGATTTTGGAGTGCTTTTTTCATGGTCATAAAAGTAAAAAATTAACGGCGAATTGAAATGATCGATGGACACCTAATAAAATATTAATACCTACTAACAGTGACGGAGCTAGGTGAAGGCACTTGCCTTTGTTAAAATAATAAAATGGCTTGCCACATGTTAAAGTCAATATCTAACATACTACTGTTGTAAATGCTCTAGTCCGAGGATTACCTTATGTTTTGTTTATTTTCATAGTAACTAAAAGTTAAAAATGACGTAAAATTTCTAGATTTTTTTTTGTTTACTATATTTCACTTAAAAAAGAAGGAAATAAAAATAAAAGTAATTTTAAAAAACCGACTTCAAAATCGTGTAGATGCCACCACCACATCTTAACCAAATTTATAGGGGACCACTCCTGAGGTACCCCCTTACTAACATAGAAATCGGGTATCGTGTTAAAGAATTAGAGCTAAACATACAAAAAAAGTTTGAATATTTTCTAATGGACCCAATTATTAGATTTTGACAAAATTTATATGGGACCACCCCTGAAGTACCCCCTTTCTAATAAAAAAGAATCAGCGAAATCGGACACCGTGTTAAAGAATTATCGTTGAACATACATAAAAAAAATATTCAGACGAATTGAGAATTTCTACCTTTTTGAAGTCTATTAAACATTTGGCTAAAATATACAGAACGGCTTTTTGAATTATAAATTGAAAATTGTTTCTTTAAATTTACCTTTACATATTGAATTTTTATAAAATTTAAATAAACCCTCCCGAAACACTACGTCCATGTCTAAAATATAGGTTAAACAGTGTGAAGGGCGAGTCTATATTAAATAGATGTCTATCCTGTGTCTACTTTTGTAAAGAATATTTTTTTGACAGGAAACTCTTCTTTTTCTAATTACGAAATTTTCTAAAAAAGCGCTTCGAATGTACGCATAGCTACCCTTCTAATATCTTGTACTTGGCTTATTGACAATTTGCAATTAACGCCATATGAAATAGGCATTGGCATACAGATGTAAAAGTAATGCGATTTCTGTTGAAACAAGCTACCCACACAGTTTTCAGGTTCCAAGAAGAATCTTATTTCGATAGAGATAAATCTAATTATTTTAAACTCACCATAAATGATGGATTCAAATTAAAAAATCTCCAATGGAAGATTTTAAAGTGATCAACTCGAAATTTTGAAGTACTGTCAAAAAATATGTCAAAGTGAAACTTAAAATTATTTTTATTCGTTTTAGGATTCTAGACGTCTCTTTAATTATGTAAGTATCTAGAAACATCAGTTTCTTTATCTGATGGGAAGGAATAAACATATTCTCTATTTTGATAACATGAAAATAAAAAAATACAAAATCATAGGGGTCCAATGCAGAATCATGATGTATGAATTTCGCAAAAAAAATAATTATTTAGTTTCTATAGTTAATTAAAGCAGAAAAAAAAAAATACCACTATTTTTCGAGAAAATTGTAATTAAAAAATCTCAATTTTGTAGGTTATATTGACTAATTTTATCTTAGAATATATATAGTCAGGAAGGAGGAATCCTAAACGACCTTGGAATCGCGATGGTATCTAATTTTGATAGTGAACTAGACGAATATGGCGACAAGTGTTTCCGGTCTACCAGTGACGTACTGTTATAAAGGGGTGTAGAAAAGAAAATAATAAATTCTCATTATCTAAATTTACCGATTTCTCTCATTTTAACGAATTGCTATTTTTTTTGCGAGAAGTTTGCATTTTTTTTATTAACCTTCATTATGTGAATAAATTTTACTTTAAAATTGCATGTTGGGTGGGATAAATATAGGAAAATATTTTTGGGATAATTTATAAAGGGATTTCATTTGAAAAATCAAAGCAATAATGTATTGACTTTTTTACGTCTTTATTATGACAATGTCTTTATTAATCTACATTTTACAAATTATTAAGGTTTGAAAAAGAAATGTTTTGTAGATATGCGTTAAAAAAAAATTAAATATCCTATACTTATATTTAGGTCAAACACCGCTGTGATATTTCTTTCTTAGATGTTTTTGTTGGAGTACATATAAAACTTCCTAATATCGAAGAGAATTTCTGATCATTTTATTTACATATTATTAGTAATATTTTTTGCAGGACAATTTTGCATAAACAGGTAAAACACCTTTCCAAGAAAGGATCCTATAACGTAATAATGATTCTGAGTGCAAAATAGATTATTGTTAAATGTACATTCAACGCATTATTTGTATGATTAGTCCAGTTATGATGAGTCAATTTGTACTCTAAGGTATTTGATATCATTTATAATACTTATACGAAATTACTGAACGTTACCTTTTATTGTTTCTTTAGGAAGAGGCCATCTTTTTGTAAGTGTATAATGGAACCACGTAAGTTTTATCAAAGGTATGTAAGTTTTTATAATTAAACCATTCGAAAAATTTTATAAGATCTGTTTTTATTAATAATTTTAATCAATTCCAGTTCTCTGCATTTTACAAAACTGGATGTCTTAAAGACGTACAAAATTGGATGTTCTAAAGACGCCTTGTTTTGTAACAATGTACGTCCTATGTCCTATAGACGCCTGTAAAACATCTTTTGGATATTAGCGTACATCTTCAAAACGTCACGAACGTCGTGAACAAACGTATTTAAGATGTCTTTAAAACGTGTCTGTGCTATTTAGGTAGTATTAGTAGTATTAAATAAAAATAAATCTTTTTGTAATGCATGTAATCATTATGTTTTATTTTGCAGAATTAAAAAAAAACACTCGTTTTATTATGTAAACGATTTCATTCAGTTTATTTCTATATATATTTTTTCTTGTCTTATTTATTGATACTTATTAAATTTTACGCTTTGGACTTGCTTTATACATAAAAACATCAATAAAGTACTAATAACATAAATACAAGTTCGTTTTTTTATTTCCAACATGTTATGCCTTTGGTCAAATATCGTTGGTGTCAGAATGGAACAGGATTTTCAGCGACGTTTTGAGTCCTCTCTTTATTACCTAGTGTAAGGTTTTAACTATACCTATCAGTATCGCATCCAGAGTTTCAATCTAGGGGGTATATGCGCCCCTGATAAATATGTTTCAAATATTTTAATGCAAACAATTTTATTCAAATTTTTTGAGATTCTATTACTTAAACTAATATTTATGTTAAATTCAATATTTTAATGTAAATATTAGTTTTTTAGAGTAATGAATGCCAAAAATATAAATAAATAATAGACATTTGAATGAACCGCGGTTACACTTGATATTCTTCTTTTTATTTTCTTCTTTACTATGCTTCTAACTCTCAAGTCAATCAGCCAATTATGTAGTGTACGATAATCGCTTCAAATAGTACGGCTAGGAACTAAAAACTTGTTACCAGTGCCGGGTGTTTAAATGGTTTGTCTCACGATTCGTAGACTGAAACGGTGGCCTCATAACGGTTGCTATATACGGAGTGACGTCACGGAATGAAAAAGTGATTTGACAGAAAATATTCTACTTGGGTTTGTACAGTAGTTTTTTTTTTAACTCATATTTTATTTGAATAAGGATAATTTCCTGACCGTAGCAGAATTTTATATAAATAAAAATTTCCTTGGTTTAATCGGTCAATGTTTTTATTTTCTATTGTTTAGTACAACATATTTCGGAAAATACAATTTTTCCATCTTCTGGTGCATTCAATTTATAAAAATTATGGGGACGAATACAGTTTAAAATATATCTATTTCACATCGTGTGAAAACACTGGAAAATAATCCAACAATAAAAATATAAAAACCATTAAATGTTAATTACTTATTATTTTATCTATGGGTGCCGCCGAAAGACGAATAGGTGGTATCGAATGAGCTATGGTTATAGTATGAAATTGGTCCTTTTAAACACTCAAAAGATGTCCAAAGTAATTTTGAGTAGTTTAGGTAAAGAAGAAAAATTTTTTTTTATTTATTATTATATGTAATGATATTCATAATGTGTACAGAGGACAAGACATCATTCATTATTTCAATGATTGGAACGTGATTAATTAGTGTAAATATAAACAATTTGCGGATTCAAAGAAATGTTCAATTTACACAAAATTTATAAAACATTATCACCTCTTAACAATATCGGTAAGATTACTTAAAAATAATATAAAATGAGCATTTCAAAAGGATAATCGGTATTTTGAAATCAAAATTAATTAAAGTTTGACGCACTTTATATTTTGTAACGTTATTTTTAAACATAAAATTTGCATTCAAATGAAGCGGAGATTTTGAAATTGTCTGTGCATGGTGTTACCTTTTCGTTTATGCAACTGTTATGACTGAAATATGAATAGAGGTCAAAAGTAACATCAGCAATTTAATATGTTGATAATCACTGTAATAAAATAAAGTTAATCTCAAAACCGAAATGAAATCAATTCAGGTACATTCCATGTGCCATTTTTTTTTAAACTAAAACCAAACAAAAGGTAATTAACTTTTTTTAAATTGTTCGATAGTAGATACTTTGTTGAGAGTTCTTATAATAAAGGAGTCACACTACATTGATAGAAAATAGATAAATTGAATGTATATTGTTAAGAATGGAAATTATAAATATGAAAAAACAAAAAAGCGAGGAAAATTTACACTACTATACCTGTACCTAGAACAGCAGCTTTCAAAACGTCACTCATCTCTGAATCCAAAATGTGTTCATCTTCCGGGGTGGAAGGTAAAGGACAGCCAACGCAGTCCTCTTCCACCTGAAAGAAAATTAAAAACAGTATTTTTTTTATTGAACTGTTATCAGTTTTTTTTTTAATTTGTTATCAGTAATTTATATTACAAAACCGTTATCAGTGATTAACATTATAAGACCGGCAGCCGAGCTCATCCTACCAGTCGAATATTGTACAACGTTTTATGTTATCCTGAATTTTTTATATTGTTACAAAGATCCACAAATTTTTTTTAAAGAAAGCAACGACCGACAAAGGCAGATATAAGAGTAATTCATGTACGTGGTAACTAGACACGGCTTTGATTTAAAACCAAACTGACTCTTAAGAAGAAGAAGAAGAAGAAGAAGAAGAAGAAGAAGAAGAAGAAGAAGAAGAAGAAGAAGAAGAAGAAGAAGAAGAAGAAGAAGAAGAAGAAGAAGAAGAATTGTAACTCCAATGCCTACTTTAGAAACATTTTTTGAGGATCAGTCCATATTTTGAATTAGCAGCCCTTATAAGCACCCCCTCAGTAACTATATTAGTCGTGGGATGCTAAAGGTCATTTTCAGTCCTTGTTAGCACTTTTTGAACATTTTTACTGAAACAGGGTGAATAATGATTGCTGTTAAATTTTTACGATTCAGGATAACATAATAGTAGTTTGTGTGGATATGGACAATCCACTCGAGTTGTACAGTATATTTTTTCTACGACCCACTAACGGAAATCTACAACTTAAAAAAAATTATTTATGAATTTTACTGATTTTTAAAATTAAATAAATATGAAAAAAAATATATTCGCCAGCCGAGAATTGATCCCCGGCTTTTCGCGTGGAACACTCTGTCCATGCCTCTACTGCCACTTTTACGATTTTGGTTTTAATACTTGTAATTAAAATAGTTTCATATAGTTTGAATAAAATTTAATTTTTGTTTCAAAATGAGGTTCAAATAAAAATAGAAATGCTCTTATTTACGATTATTTATCGATTCTACACCAAAATAATGTATATTTAATTTTAATAATTAAAAAATATACTGACAATTTGTTTGACAGGATTGTCACTTATTTAAAATTTTAAAAATAATGGTAATTGGTTTTCCAAATTATGAACCGAGATTGGTGGATTTCATTTTTTTGCAGTGTTCTCACTACCTGGAATGGATATGAAATATATTCGTTCAGTTGAACGCAATGACATACTTTTTCGTTTTGTAGTCTGTGCGTAGATAAGCTAATATCCATGTGGGTGTACAAAAATACTTTTTTCTACAATCATTAAACGTAGTAACATTTTTTTTTTAATTGTTTCATATGTATAAATATGATGAAAAAAAGCGACATTAGAGTGAGATAAGTACTTTTTTAATGTTCTCTGTGTAAAGCTTACTGTTCATGCGTACATCAGACTATACGATGATTCGAAAATGTTTCTATTAGCCCTTTTTGCTTGTTATTTGTAGTTGGGTACAGGGAAGGAGAGCGAACAACATGTCCCCGTAATGGGAGATGTCGTGCAAATGTCAAATTCAAAGTAAAGTTGCTTATCGATGAATTTTTCATTTTTTACTGGCAATGAAATAATATGCTTCTAGTTCTAGACGTCTATAACAATAAAAATTCCCTTTGCTAGTATTTTCTGTCGTCCGGTTTTGCTACTTTCGGTGTAGGGAATTCCGCTACATGATCTGATATTTGAGTTTTTCAATGAAATTCGGCATATAGCTTAAACTCGATTTTTATGAATTTAAATATTAAATAATATTGCAAGCATTTTTTGTGTCGGCACAAGGGTTGATAGGCAAAAAAAATGTAACCTTGAAATAAGTGTAAAATCGGAACTAAAAGTACTTTAATTGATATTAACATGTTTGTAAGACTCTCAAGTAAGAGTATTGCCTTTGCAAGCATTTTTTATTCAGTAGTTTTACTCTATTCATCATAAATTATACTATTTTGACACATTTTTCACGAAAATTCGAGTCATATACACATTTTTGGGACAATCAAACCTGTTTTACATAATAGTTCAACCATTCAACCTCCTATTCACCCCGGATTTTCAAGAAAAAAAAAAAAAAAAAAAAAAATGTAAAAATAGTCTAGTTTTTTACACCCTTCGGACCCCCTGTGCTATCACCCTGATTCGTCTATAGTCTGTCGGCATTGCAGCCTGCGGCTTATTGTACCATCATTTGAAGATCCTACTACTTTCTCATTCACCAATTTACTCACTCATTCATCGCCATCGTCGAGGGTTAACCGCTAGTCGGCCAAGTCCTATGGTGGAACCTCTCAGTGGGTAGAACTACTGAAAAATGCTTGCAAGAGCAATACTCTTAGTTAAGAGTCATACAAAAATTAGGGGAGCAATTACACCTATTTGAAAGTTTGCATATCAACTCTTTCGCCGACACAAAAAATGCTTGCAATATCATCTTAAGTTCATAAAAACTGCGTTTAAGCTATATCCCGAATCGCATTAAAAATCGTAAATATCCGGTCATGTGGCCGCTCGTGTGGCCGAAATTCCTACACCGGAAGTAGCAAAACCGGATGACGGAAAATGCTGTTTTATTGTTATACACGTCTAGAAGTTTATTTAAATGCCAGCAAAAACGAAAAATATCAATTACACTACAGCTCCCACCACCGAGACATAGTACACCCCTCTCCCTTATACCCAACTACAAATAGCAAGCAAAGAACATGATAAGACACTTTGCAGTTAGATAAGGAACTATATTTGTTGATTATTTAAAAATTGAGAGCGGTTAAAGGGACGATTTTAACTTTTTACTGTTGATCCTGTAATTTATAACCTAAAATGTAGAATGAATGATTGTTGTAAACAATGATATAACAACGCAAACATGGAGCTACTATTAACTTATTTTGTCTCAAATTAAAAAGAAAAAGAAACCAAAGCAATTTTGACAACAAAATGATTATACTTCATAATTAACTAAAGAGGAAATTAAATTGTACACATGAAAGTAGTAGGTAGCATTATCGCCTCAAAACGTTTGTCGCGCGAATCTCGACACAATCAAAATTGCCATGAACTGTCAATTAAGATTTTTTGAGGTTTTCATTATTGATGTTTCTCGATTCTAATTTATTTATATGATTGTAGAAAAAATGGTGTATAGTGACTAAAAACTGAACCAGTTTTTACACTTGTTGCATAAATACCTACTTAATATCAAATACGTGTTAAGAAAATACTAATAAAATAACATCTACTCAATGAGTTATGAAGGTAAATGTAAACAAAACCATAAAAAAATCAATTTAAAAATTATAATTTGTTTAGTGTGGCTAATTTTGTGAACTTTCTTTATCCATTACTGATTAAATTACCTATTCGCTCCGTGCGCGACAGCAGCGCCAATTTGTTTTGGTATTAAAGGACTATTTCTGCCTATACTGACAAATACAATTTTTAATAGAATTCGTAAATAAAAAGTATATATGTTAGTTTTAATAAAAGTATATGGATTTATAAAACAATTAAAACATTAATTTTTTATTATTATTATATATTTTTCACGCTTAAATTGAAGAAAATTATGTATAATCATTAAAAATCAATAATAAAATATAGGCAGGCAACAGTATTTACTGGAAAATGTATGAGAAGTCTAGGTAATAAGTTGTCATTGAAGAAACCATTTATAATAGCGTGAAGTTAAAATGTATAAAAAGGATCGCTACTTATATTTTCATTTTTGTTCTAAAGAAAACATAGAATGAATGATTAAAACTGGTTTCCGATCAGTAAGTCACAAAATTGCATACCAGCCAAATATTATAATCAACGGCAGAAATCTTGAAATCTAGTCCTTGCTGAATGAACATTTAAGAATAAAGGGATATTAAAGAACATCGTAAAATGATAATTTATTGTTTATTTAAAAACTTTCTAGTTTCTGATGTCTACTATTTCCAGCATTACTGTTATTATCACAAAAATAAAGGTAATTTTTCTTCTTATTGTACACCTATCCATTTATTTCTTTGATTTAATTTCCACTTCGTTAGTGAAATTTGTTATATAAGTTTCACTGTTTTTTTTTGCTAGTATTTGTACAATTTTCAACACAGCAACTCCGGTTGCTTATTGTGTTTTTACCTACTTTTTTGAAAAAAAGTAAAATGTATACGTGTATTTGATATGCCAAAATTACAAAATATCCCCCTAAAATGCACGAATTATCCGCAGCTAGCGCTAGTATCGCTTTTGCTTCCCTTTCCATGACTTCGCACGGAGCGAATTACCTACTTAAAAATTACATTTAAATAATTAAAGCTTATTAAACCATCTTTCAATAATTTAAAACAAGATCATATACTATTTTGCCTAAGCATTGTCAAGTAGGTAGTAGTACCTATTCTGGAAGTATTATTAAAGTCCAATAAAAATAGCTATTAGTGTATTAAGAGCGAAAAGTGATACTTTGCCGATTGGTACAGAAAGATGACCGCACAACGCGTAGCGGAGCGCGGGAATCTGTCGAAAGCGGCAATGAAATTTTCGCTCAAAATGCACACAAGATTTTTTCTGCACATTATTTTAAGAAATAGATATAAAAACTAAAAATCTGTCGTAAGTAGTGTATAAGTTGATGTTCAAAGTCAATGTTAACTTGGATAATAAAACAAAAAAGTAACTACGTACAAAAACTGGAAAATCATTAATTAAAAAGAAATATTATTGTATATTTAATTTAAATTAATCAAGCAACAAAGCTGTCAATTTTGTCGCTCGGCGAGCGACAAACCTGTCACTTAATATCAGTTTGCGGAAAACATCAGCTTTGCTGTTGGATTTCGAATCACGAAAGCTTACTTTTGATAGTGATCGTAGAAAAACATCCAGCAAATAATAAGGGATAAAAAAAGGTTAATAATAACATGTCCATAACGGATTAGCTACAGAGGTTAACATAAAAAGAGGGTAAAAGGGTAACAGCAAATTCGACTTGAACGTTATTGCTGGATGCTAGAGCGGTTTTAGTTCTGCTCTCATTTCGGGC